GTGTGTGTGTGTGTGTGTGTGTGTGTGTGTGTGTGTGTGTGTGTGTGTGTGTGTATGGGTGGGTGGTGATGGGTGTCTGGGACAGGGGACAGGAGGAGGGGAGCTGACATTGGACCACACCCTCGTCAGTGACTCCAGGCAGCTGCCCAGCTAGTGAACACACAAGCCATTTCTATGAAACATTTATTTCCTTTGAAACCTCCGGAAACATGCCAGAAAATCTCAAGACAGGGATGGAAAAAAAAAAAAAAAGACAAAGAATAATAATAAAAATCCAAATGAAACAAATCAACATATGAAAAAGAAAACCTCTGCTGCTATCTTCAGCCATCAGACAGAATACCAACCTTACTTAAATTAAACAAATTTGTTTTGCAGAAATCCTTTAAAAATAACAGAAAACAAAACCAAAAGTCATAATTTACACTTGTCAATGTACATGATTAGGTCCCCGAAATGATTCGAATGATCTGAAGATATGAGGAGACAACTAAAAAAAAAAAGGTTCCAGGTTAGGGTCTGAGGGCAGGAGTGGGGTGGGGGACAGGAGAACCCCCCAGAAAAGGGAATCAGGGAAGGAGAGACGTCACAGTAGCTGGCCAGGGCTGAGGACGGCTGCTGAGCAGGCTCGGCCTCGGCGGTGCCCGCCTCACACCCCCAGTGCAGGGAGAGGAGGTGGCGGGGCTGAGGTTTTCTTCTCAGGGCTGTGGAGCTGCTGGGGGTGGGTGGGCAGAGGCCCATCGCAGGGAGACACCATGAGCACTCTCTTCTCTCACCCCCACCCACCCAGCCTGGCACCTCCCTGACTGCCTGCGCCTTATACAGTCCCCAGAGCCCCCTTCCCTGGGGTGCCTGGCCCCAAAGAGAGGCAGCGGGATCGCTGGACGAGGGCTGGGTTGCCTGGCTCTGGCTCTGAGCGCTGAGTGCATCGCTCTGAGCCAGGCCCACAACGCTAACTCCTCCCTGCCTGGTGCCTCCTAAAAAGGGAAGCTGCCTGCCTGCCCACCCTGACCGACCCCGGCCCATGGGACACGTCTCAATCCTCAGCTTGAGGATGGGGGAATCCACAGACTGTGGCCATACAGACTTGTTCTGGCGCAACTCTACATGAAAAAATAAATATATATATATATATATTTTGTTTTTAAAGAAGGAAAAAAAGAAACTGTTTCCTGGGTGAACAGCATAGTACCACACCAGCTTGACTGCCTGGCGAGCTGCCCCTTATTGCCTTTAGAGAACCAGTGTCTCTTGGGGTTTGCACGGCGATGTGCTCCCCAGGGAGCACAGTGAGGGTGTCGCCACCGCTGGGGGCCTGCAAGATGGGCTGGGAGACTTGCAAAGGAAAAGAAAACCAGATGAGGAGATGAAGGCTGTTTTTCTCCAGCCCTGTCCTGAGGGCTCTGGAGCTGCTGGTCAGGGCTAGGTCGTGCTGGGGAAGGTGGGCGGGGAGGGGCTGCTGTGGCAGCTCCACCGCTGGGGCCCTGGGGCCCGGCCAGGTCAGGAGCTCTAAGGTGGAAGGGCCTGTGGGCCCCAGGCCCAGGCGCTGTGGCCTCTGATGAGAGAGGAACTGATAGAAAAAGATTGTATAAACTGTCCTGATTGTAGAAATAGAGTTTCTCTCTCAAAGAAGTTGACTCTGGATGCTGGGATTTACTCTATCTATCCTGGGGCCCCTAAGAAAATAATTTAAACTCTTAAGAAAGTGCTCCTGACTGCTTTGTGGAAGGAGGGGGATGAGAGGGGATGATGTTGGTATTTTTCGGAGCTAGCACGCTGGGGACCCGGGAGCCCTCACCTCCCCGGGGTGTGGGGGAAGAAAGGGCTGGTTTCACACTGTATTTTTCACGCAGGGGGATTGGCCCTGAAAGCCACGTTGTTGTATGTGGTGAAGAAACCTGGTTTGTGAACTCCTGGAGCTGTGAGGTTTAAAGACTGACTCCTTCTCCCCCTTCCTACAGCTTCTGATGGCCAGATGGGGATAGCAGGGGACCCCAGGGGCAGTGTGGGCATGGCTCAGCTCACAGACACCACAGATGGGTGGCTTGGAGGGAGGCCTGAGACCATGTTGCCCTCTGGGGCTTGAGGACCGTGAACAGACTCTGGCTCAGCTCTGGTGAGGGCTCCCTCAGGTCCCACTCCCATCCCTGGGCTTCTGAGTCCATGGGGAAGGCTGCGGGGCAGTTGGTGCCAGGGCACTGGCTCAATTATCTTGGTCACACCTGCAACCAAGAGCCGAGCAGAGGGACAGAGGAGAGCAGCAGCCCACAGCCTGCCTGCAAGGAAGGAGCGAGGGGCTGGGGCTGAGGGATGGCGGGTGCGGTGACCTCCCCGCTCAGAGTTCCTTCTTCTCCCTGCAGAAGATCTCAGCAAACTTGCGCAGCTGCTCGCTGGCGGCCTGCGACTCCTCCTGCAGCCGCTGGTTGTTCTGCCGCAGGCTGGCCACCTCTGATTGCAGCACCACCTTGTCCTGCTTTTCCTGTGTGGCGGGAGGGCTAGGCATCAGGTGGGTGGGCTCGGGCACTCCAGGGAGCGCTCAGAACAGAGAATGGCTCCCTGGGCCTGGAGCCTTGGCTCGGCAGTGGTTAGAGCTGGACTGCTAAGGTCAGCCTGCAGGGGTTCAAATCCCAGCTTTGCTTCTTGACAGCTGAGTAACCTTGGGCAAGTCACTTTACCTCTCTGGTCCCCATTTCCCTCAACTCTAAAGGGGAGGTTGAGAGGTTTTCCGGAGGCCACATATGTAGAGCTCTTAGAACACAGCCTGACTATTGTTATTACCTCATCCCACCTTCACAGCCACCCAGGGACTTGGGGACTGTTGTTATCCTTGTTTTCTTGAAGAGCCAAGCCTCATACAGCAAGTGGGAAGCTGGGATGTGGACGCAGGACTGCCGGGGCGGGCTCCCCTGACTCTTCTGAGACGCCCTTCCAGGATGACGTAACATCCTAGGGCAGTGGCTTGTCCAAGGTTAAGCAGTGGGGTAGGGATTTGAACCTGGGCGCCTGTGATTCCTGTGCTTGAGGATCACACACATACTCTGCTGCCCTTTTGCCTTTTATCCCAAAGTATATAAACAACAAATAAGTCTCCTCCACCCTCATTTCTCCTCATTCTTCACACCGTAGAGATAAATACAAAGAACAATTTGGAATGTCGCCTTCTAGATATCCCTCTCAACTCAAGTTTACTAAGCATTTTTTAAAAAGTGTGGTGATGCCCTAGGAAGCAATTCTGCAGCTTGCTTTGTTTTTTACTTAAGTTCCTGGACTTTGTTTACATGTTAGTAAATATACAGATTTCTTATTATTTTAGTTGGCTGCAGACTATTCCGTCACATGGGTGTCCTATGATTTCTATAACCATTTTCCTGTTGATGGACAGCCGCATCGACTATTCCGTCACATGGGTGTCCTATGATTTCTATAACCATTTTCCTGTTGATGGACAGCCACATCAGCTCTGTTTTTTTTTTTCAAAAGATGACTGGTAAGGGGATCTTAACCCTTGACTTGGTGTTCTCAGCACCACACTCTCCCAAGTGAGCCAACCGGCCATCCCTATATAGGATCGGAACCTGTGGCCTTGGTGTTATCAGCACTGCACTCTCTCGAGTGAGCCACAGGCCGGCCCCAGCTCTGATTTTTTATTGCCAACAGTGCAGCAATGAACATCTTTGCCCACAGATCTTTTTGTACCCATGCTGGGAATTCTCACAAATTCCCACAAGTGGAACTTCTGGGTCAACAAGGTACACAACTACACTTTTGATAAACATTGCACAGTTGCCCTCGAAAAAGGGTGTACCAATTTACTCTCCCTCCAAGAGTGTATGAGAGTTTCT